GGTCGACAGATACAAGTCATTCGAGAAGCTGGTCGAGGAAGGGCGATCGATGAGGGCGTGGACGTGTAGAACTGGTCGAATGTCGGAGTGCACAAGGGAATCTCCAGCACGTAAAGGGGAGGACACGCGGCAGACTATAAGTGGTTAATAGCCATAACAAACTCTGACATTCTCTTACAAAGGGGACGCGTTTCCTGACACCAAAGATAGTGGAGGCGCGCGGTTGTACGGACGAGCAGAGGACAGTTGGCCGAACTCGCCCTGCTCGCGCGTGCAGCTCAGGTAACTCGCCCTTATAAATAGGGGCGAGAATCCTCATTTTCGGTACAATCTCTGATACTCTCACATATTTCACTGATATACTTTCTCTCTCAAGATCTGACTTGAGCGTTGGAGGCTCTTCACCGGAAAACACTTCCGGTGTGGAGTTTCGTGCAGGTTCCGCGTTCAACCGGCGAGGAGAACGAGTTTAGAGCGACTTCCAGCCGGTCGGGGTGCGAGACTTGTATTAGATAGAAATTTGTTATTCCAGCTATAGATTCTTTTTTGAACTCTTTCTTAGAATAATTCAGATTTGGACATACATAGGCGAAAAGGGAGTCATAGGTATCAGAATTTGGTAAATATTTTCTTGGGTCTGTAAAGGTGTGTTTTTGCTGAAGCAAATGGAATGTGTTCAACCTACGCCTTGAACTTAGATAACTTCTTCTTTTCTAACGCCAAATATGGCACTAACCGAGGTTTTTTTACTTCAAAGACTCCAAGAATTTGGTTGAGCAATTGCGAGTCCGAAAAGATATTGAGACGAGTGAGGCTCATTGATTCCACCAGGACAAAATAATTGTTGGAATAAAAACTGATACTCAGCTTCATTGTTGGTTACGGGGAATAAAAACTAGATGGAGTGACAATAATTTCTTCTTGGGGTCCACCAGGACAACTTCACCTTCGGCTTTATTTGATGTCGAAAATCCGTTGACATACATGATCCACGGTTAATTGTCATCTCCTGTCTGGCGGAGCGGCTTTTCTCGATCTGCTGACGAAGGTGGGTTTGCCTTTCCGATCGAGCGACCTTTACGGGTTTGCGGTGGTACTCGGAATGGATTTCGGCCATCGTCTCTGGGAAGTTTGTCACCGGTTGGGCTGCAGTTCTTCCCCCTTGCATCCCCCTTGCATCGGGAGCGGGTTGTCACGCGGCTGAGACATGGCATGTGATGTGGCTGCGTGATTTCCTTGGCTTTGGGCTGCCTGTGCTCCTTGTTTGGTCGGGGTGATGGGTGTCATCGATTGTTCGAGCACCGTCTTTGACGCTCCCAACATGGTTTGAGCCATGAGGGCTGAGAAACCCTTCACGAACTCAGGATTCTTAAACATTGTGGCGAAGCCCATCGTCGTCGGTGTCGCGTTGAGTCTTCTGGCAGTTTTGGCTGCTCCACGACTGGGCCCCGCCCTGGATGATTGTTCCTATTGTCCTGACTGAGACATGGTCTTTTTGGAATGATATGAAAGTAGTGAATGAAAATGTGTTTAGGAAGTTAGCTGGTTCGAAGATTAACTCCAAATATCTTATGGAGCCCTTCCTCTAGCATCAAACTGTTGTTGTATGAAATTTAACAACGATAATTAAGGACATTAAGTGAGAAGGAAGCTGTGAAATAGCTGCATTTGTATCACTTTCAAGTCAGTTTTTGTTTATAGGAAGTCAGTTTGCGTGGAACCGAGGCAATTAATAAGTGTATTTAATATGTCCGAAAAAGATCTTTGTACAAGAGTAAATGTTGCTATTTATAGTATTCTTTGCCTCGTCTTTTGAGGTAGATTTTAAGACATTAAATGTGAGTTGACCTCATAGGGACGTCTACTCTGTAGATATGCCCATATCTAATGATTAGGGCGTGTGCAATCGACGGCTGATTGACAGACATCTTGTCTATGTCGAATCGACCTCGCTTTTTCAATGGAGGTCGGTCTCGTGAATCTTCAAGAAGGTCGGCGTTCCTCGCGTTTTATGCTAAACTTCTTCAAATCGGTCCTTTTCCTTAACCATTTAACACTTAGTTGAATATTCGTGATTAAATTTTGGTATCTTCTGATTGAATGATCCAAGTCGGTGGTCAACAATGTCCTTAACACAGTTGGCATCATCTATATTGCAAATTTGTTTCCTCCAATTCTTGGAAGAGGTCTTCTTCATTTCTAGCATACTCCAATTGATTCCAACCAATTTCCAGCATTTAACTGCTCTTAAGCATCTGAAAAGAAAAAAAATGTGTTCTCATTCTTTTTCCTCCTCACCACATGTATCATAAATCACCTCCACTTTTACTCTTCTCTTCAATAGTTCAATATTATACTCAAAAAACTCCAACCAACATCACCACAAAAAATATTGTAATTTGTTATACAAGTAATTTTCCACGTCCTCTTGTAGCAGTTGTTATCCCTACTGGATCCAACAAATTCCCGTGACTTCATTGAGTTTGAAACAATAACATTACACACAGCCTTGACTGAGAATTGTCCCTTCTCGCTCTAGTGCTAGATCAGCTTATCCCTCAATCCCAAATAGCTTAAGCGAATCTTCATTACAATCTCTACATCAAAAGATGTAAAGGTTTCAAAGATAATTTCTTTATCCCACTAGCTCTCCTCCCCCTCGCTTGATTAGCTCCGAGATCCAAGTAACTCTAGACCTATCTCCAAGGAAACGACACAAAGGTTTGAAGGACGAATAATTGCGAAGTCATGTATGGATTTCTCATCACCTACTTAATGCCTAACTCCCCGTTTCAAAGACTCTCTAACATCTAACCAGCTTCTCCATAACGAGAAAGTATTATACTTCGGTGTATCCTCCATAAATTTTCTCACATAAATATCTCCCTTTCGATCATCTTGTACGTTGTCTCTAGTCCTTGTAAACATTGCCATAGAATCCATGAAAGATCACAAATGAGTGCATTTATGTTATCGTGAGAAGCCCCACACCAGAAACTTGCCAAAAATCTATTTGCAGAACCAAAATTGACATGTGAACGTCAATCCCATAAAACATTCCCATTATTGTCTCTTGTCTGAATACGTTAACTGTTTATTTATTTTTTTTTTCTTTTATCTTTTTGACATTATTATAATATGACATAAGTATATTTCAATGTCTTCGGACATAAACAGTTCACCCCACAATTGGATTTAATCCCATAGCAAAAGTCCATGATATGATAGCCACTGTTCATCACAATTTTTTTTTTTTTTTTTTTTTTTTTTTTTTTTTTTTT